CTTGGCCAGCGGGAGCGCCGGGGCGCACGCCACGCTCAAGAGCCAGCTCGGCAGGCAGCGCAACCAGAGGCTTCGCTGATCAGGTGGCTAAGGCGAACGCGGAGCGAGCGCATCAACAGCATCGCCATGCCGAAGCCGAGCAGGAGTTCGCTGCTGAGCTGGCGGAAGTCAGGAGGGTCGCCCGCGAGCAGGCACTCCGCCACAACGCCGAGCAGGCGAAGCTCAGGCTGGCCCTGAAGGAGGAGTCAGAGCAGCTGCAGCGCACCACCGAAGCGGAGAACGTAGCGCAGCAGCTGCAGCAGCAGCAACACAAGGCTCTCCGCCACGAGCTCAAGAAGCAGCAATCTGAGCAGCTTGAGTTCGCGATGCAGATGGAGGCCAGGTTGCTCAACCATGACGCAGCATTCAGCCAAGTCAAGTCTGAGGCCGAGGAGGCGACCCAACGTGCAAATCACATGCGAGAGCAGCTCGAGTGTGCCCGTGCGGAGCACCGCGCGCAGCCACAGCCCCAGGATAAGGTCTACCAAGACCTACTGCGGGCACGCGCCGAGGTGCAGGAGGCATGGCGGCAGGCCCAGCACGAGAACGCCAAAGCGACAGCTGCAGCTGGCACTCTCAGGCAGCAGCTCATCAGGCAGGAGGTGGTCATGGAGGAGAAGCTACAGGAGGCCAAGAAGGACCACGTGCTTGAACTCGAAGCTGCCGCTGAGTCAGCCAGGGTCCAGGCAATTGCCCAGGCCCAGGTGGTCGCCAACGCCAAGGGAAAAGGAGCCCTGCCGCCAGCAGAGGCGGCCAGGCTGCAAGGGATCGTCCAGACCTCAGCACGGCAGCAGGATCGGCTCAAGCAGACCAAAAGCGAGCTCGAGGCAGCTGAGGCCCGCATCCACGAACTCCAGCAGCACTCCAAGCTTGAGGCAGGGGCGGCACAGCGTGCAGTCCAGGTCGCCTACCACGAAGCAGCGGAGCTTAGGAGTGCCAACGAGGAGCGGCAGATTCCGCACGAGGTGCAGGCACTGCAGTACGCCCTGCTAAGGACCAGAGCAGAGGAGGAGGATATAGCGAAG